ATTTACAAAGAAAAGCAATTACTTAAATTTGGCCTAAGACTATTATTTCCCAACCTCAGGTTAAAGATTCATATTATAAGTCCTAAAGCAGCTACTAAAAAAACACAACGAAGTGTTATAGTTAATATTGACAAGGCAACAGCAGTGATAAAAACAAAACTGAAAAAAATAACAAAACGAAAAAAGCAGATGAGATTTAAAAGTAATAGCAAGATAATAAATATCAATAATCATATTAAATATGAAAGGTCTAGCATCTTAAAAGTTACAGATTTTCAGACAAGATAAAAAAGCAAGGTAACTACAGGTTCTCTTAAATGTCACACATTAAAATGTCAAGAGAAAAATAGGTTAAAATTAAAGTATGTGAAAAGATATATGAAAATAATGCTAAACTTTAAAAAGCTGGATTGACCATATTAATATCATTGTAGACTTCAAAGTGAAAAGGGGAACTCATAAATAAAAGGGCCAATTTAACAAGAAGGAATGATATTTATAAAGGTTCATATACCTAATAACAGGATTTTGAAATGCATGAGGAAATAGTGCAGTGAATAAGCTTTGCCCTAGGAAAACCACGTTCATGATCACGGTATCTCCCCTGCCAGGTAAGTGCAAAAAAAAGGTGATAGGAATTCAAGAAATATACAAATACATTATCATATTCAAAACTGTCAATGTGTCTAAAAAATTTAAACATGTGTACAATTACTGTGTATCAGTCACAACATTTTAGTTTATAAAAAGATAGCCAAAAATTGATAAGCATATGGTCAATTCAATACTTATATTAACAAACCTGACTTAATTAACATAGAAACTTGTCACACAACAAAAGCGGAATACATATTCTTCTCAAACGCACATGCAATATTTACGAAGATATATCATTTTCTGAAGCATAAAGCAGGTACAAGTAAATTTAAGACAATTCAAGTCATACAAAGTATGCTTTATGCTTACAATGGCATTAAATTAAAAATGAATATTAGAAAGCTAACTGAAAAATGCCCAAATATCTCTAAATTAACTAACACACTTGCAAACATCCACAGAGTCAAAGGAAATTAGAAAGTATGTTGAGCTAACAGGAAAAAAGGCTATGTAAAAAAATTTGGGAGGGGGGTGTTGACACCACAGCAGTGATTAGAGAGGAACCATAATACAATCTCCATTGGAAAAGAAAAACCTGTGAAATGATAGGAAACCACCGAAGAGTAAAGGGCTTCTGGGATGTGGGAAAAGAGAAGGGAAAGAAGGAGAAATTTTGTATGTATGTATATACAGGATAGATAACATGGTTGTTCTATCTGCTGTTTCTATGCTGAAAGAAACTGTCAATGAGTCTTTGGTTGACCAGTATTGCATGTCTATATCTGTTTTCATGAGAAGCCACTTTGAAGATATCAATATGTAATACAACCACCATTGTTAATTCCCTACCACTTTGTTTGTAACTCTGTATTGTCTGTATTGTGCTTGTGATATGTTGTAAAATGTTGTATGTCTGTTAATGTTTCCCTCCTTTTATCCTTAAAATAAAAAAATAAATAAATAAAAACAGCAAAAAAAAAAAAAAAAGAAAAGAAAAACCTGCCTCAAATCCATAACCTAAATTAATATCTTAAAAATCACACAAAGAAAAGCCAGAGAAAGACAAAGTAAGTAGTGATAAAGATTAAAGCAGAAAATAATAACATAGAGAACAGAAATACAACAGAGAAAAAGTAATGAAACCAAACCTGGTTCTTAGAAGAAGAAATAATAAAACTAATAAACCTCTAGCAAGGCAAAGCAGGATCAAAAAAAATTAAAGATGTAAATTACCAACATCAGAATTATAAGCAGTGACATCACTAGTAATTTGACAGGGATACTATGAACAACATGAGACCTATAAATGTGTTAACTTTGATGAAATGGATAAACTCCTTCAAAGACACAAGATAGGAAAGTCCACTCAAAAAGAAAGAATAAGTCTACTATATAAATTAAATTTCTAGTTAAATTCCTTACCATAAAAAAAACCTCCAGGCTCAAAAGGCTTTACTGCTGAATTGTTCCAATCATTTAAAAATAGCCAATATCAAATCTATGCAAACTTTTCTGGAAGTTGAAGAGGTAAAACCCTATTCAACTCATCTTATTATGCCAGAATTACTCTGATACCAGAAACAGAAAAAAAAATACAAGAAATTTATAGTCAAATATTCCTCATGAAAACGGACAGAAAAATTCTTACCAAACATTTACCAAATATCATCCAAAAAAATAAAAAATGTTCATGACTAAGCGGAATTCCTCAATAAATTCAAAACTAATAAAGAAAAAAAAATCTCCATAAACACAGAAAACACACTTTAAAAATTTGACACCAATTTTAACAAAAAAAACTTAATGTAGTTAGAGAACGAAAGTCAACCTAAGAAAGATCATTCAAAAAATTATTACATTTAACTTCATAATTTATGGTGAAATTATGCTTCCAACTAAGATTTGAAACAAGGCATCTGCTTCCACTCAACACTGGACCAGAGTGTTCACACCAGTTCGGTAAAGACAAATAAAAGAAAGAAATGTGCACACTGAAAAAGAAAACGGAATACTCTTTATTAAACAGATAAGAAACAGAAAAGCCTTTAAAATCTACAGAAAAGCTGCTAGGAGAAGAGAGGAAGTTTAGCTAGATTCTGAAAAAGAAGTTCAAAATAAGAAAAATCAATTGTTCCATCCAATTTGAAACTGAAATTAAGAAGTCAATTCTACTTACAATAGAATTAAATAAATAGGAAGCACTTAGAGATTAATGACAAAAGATCATGTGACTTATATACTGAAAACAAGTCACTGCTGAGAAAAAATGAGTAAGTGCTAACTAAATGGAGAGGAAACCCGTATTTATGGATTAAAAGCCTAGGTATTTTTAAAATCTCACTCATCGGAAATTGATCTATGGATTCATGCAGTCACAATCCAAATCTCAGTGGGTTTTCTTTAGAAAGTGAAAACTACACTTTAAATTGAGAAGAAGATACAAATGACCTACGAGAACCAAAACAACTTTTAAAAAGAAAAGAAAGCTCAAGAATTATAATATCTCCTGTCAAAACCTATTTTAAAGGTACAGTAATCAAGACAGTGGGGTAGTATGATGAAGGTAGACAAATGGATCAATGAACAAGACAGAGTATCTAGAAATAGAGCTTCACATATATGATCAATTGATTTTCAAAATAAATGCAAGATAAGTTAATGAAGAAAGAATATCCTTTTCTAATTATGATGCTAGAAAAACTAGATATCTCCATGCCAAAAAATAAAAACAACCAAGACTTCAACCTTCAACACATACCTATAGCCTTAACTCAAAATGGATCAGAAATATAAAAGTAAAATCTAAACTATAAAAACTCTAGAATACATAGGAGAAAATATTTACCTGGGGTTAGGCAAATGCTCCTTAAATAGAACATTAAAAATATAATTAATAGATGGAAGCAAACAGAATCTAATTTCATCAAAATTAAGAACTTCTACTTCTCTTCTTATACTATTAAGATAGTGAAAAGACAAACCATAAACCAGAAGAAAATATTTGTAAACAACATATATTATCAAAGACTTACATCCAAAATATATGAAGAGCTCCCAGAACTAAAAGAAACAAATAATTCTATTAAAAATGGTCAAAAGGTTTGAACAGACACTTTACCAAAGAAGATGGATAGCAAATAAGTGCAGGAAAAGATGCTCAACATTATCAATAATTACTGTGATGAAACTCAGTGCCACAATGAGATACTACCACATACTTATCAGATAGCCAAAATTTAAAGACTGACCATACCAATTGTTGGCAAGGATGCGAAGCAAATGAAACTCATGTGCTGCTGTTGGGAATGTAAAAATTAGATAACCACTTTGGAAAACAGTTTGGCAGTACTGTTAAAAGTTAAAACATACACCTATCATATGACCCAGTAATTATATTCCTAATATTTACTGATGAGAAATGAAAACACATGTCCATATAATCACTTGTATATGAAAGTTCACAGCAGCTTTATTGGTAATATCTCAAAACTGCAATGACACAAACATCTATCAACAGATGAATAGATAAACAAATCACACTGTATCCACACAATGGTAATACTATTTAGCAATAAAAACAAATAAACTATTGATACATACAACACATGGATAAATCAAAATAATCATGTTGATTTAAGCCAGACAAAATGATATACAGTGAGACCTCAGTTCACAAACTTAGTTTGTTCTATGATTTTGAAAAAGATGGCCACATTTGTGTTTGTGTGGGAAAGACAGCTGTGCTCACGTTTCTTACCTGAGACAGAATTTGCAAACAAAAACAGTATTTTTGCCAAACACTTCTATTTGCAAAACAAGTTGTTTGCAAACAAAAGTATTCGTGAATCAAGGTACCACTGTATATGATTCCATTTACACAAACTCCTACTGAATGCAAACCAAATAATGACAGAAAACCTATTTAGTAAAATCAAGATGGGAAGAAGGCATTACACGGGCACAAGAAAACTGTTGGAAATAGTGGATATCCTGATTATTTTTATTTAGATTATAGATTCATGAGTATATATAAATGTCAAAATTTATCAAATTGTATATTTAAATGTGTGTGATTTATTGTATGTCAATTATACCTCAATAATGCTATTTTAAAATTAATGAACACTACTCCAAGAGGCATTTACGTAGCTTGAGTAGCCAAAGTCCTAGGCTTGCTCCTATCTACTTCATCCAGTTATTCATATTGTTCTCGTGTCTAAGAGAATGAGTATCACATAGATGGTCTAAATGATAAGGAAGACAGAAAGTGCTATTCATTGGCACATTATTAAATACTGTGTAATGAAACAAAAGAATAATTATCATTTAAAATTTCCATAGGAATAATGCTTTTTCCTTAATTTTGTTTCAACAAGATAGAGTAAAAATTTATAGATACTCACCTCTTTGGATAATCTTGTGAAGACATCCCCTCCCCTGAGAAAATCCAGTATTAAATACAGCTTCCCTTCAGTCTGAAAGGCTAATTAGAAATTATAATGCAGCAAAAAAACAATCTTTTTTAAATTTTTGTTGTTTTAAATTCTTTTTCTATTTTAAAGAGAAAAAGCTAACAATCTTTTTTTTTTTTTTTTTTTTTTTTTTTTTTTTTTGTTTTTTTGGTTTTTCTCCGGTACCGGGAACCGAACTCACGACCTTGCGCTTGCCAGGCAGGTGCTTTTGCCGCTGAGTTAAATCCCCAGCCCCAAAACTAACAATCTTAAAGGTTTGAAAAGCTTAATATATTTTTTACTCATATATATATGTACACATATACTTTTTAGTTTTTCTGTTTAAATTTTTATCACTAAATACAATAAAGTAATTAAGTATGAACTCACATGGTCAATTATTAAAAAACGTCATTTCACAATTAAATTCAGTGTTTAATCAAGTGTTAAACAGCTACATATTCCTTCTCAGAACATAATCAGCTTTGCATGTGGCTTTACAAAGAAACATTTATCAATATTTTCCTGATTTATGAAGCATCATGCTCTACTGCATTTGGTTGAACTTTGTCTCCTAACTGTATTTTGAAAATCTAGTAATGTTGTAAAGCTCAACAAAAATTAAACTTCCCAAGATTTCTCTTTTTTCACCTTTACTTACAGCATCTTTAACCCTACTCTCATCAAAATTATTTGCTACAACCTTTGAGATCTCATTGTATTTTATTTATGACACTTTTATAGTAATTACTACATTTTGATTTTTACAATTAGTTTACCTGCCTATGTTTCCTATATATTACATATTTCATGACGTGAGAGATGGTTTCACTTCTATAGCCCATTGATTTTAATAACACTATTTTGCACATAATAGGTGTTACCAATTGGATCTAATGTCATACAGGAAATTCAAGGAAGTCCTAAGGTACTATTATATTATTAGGATAACAAAAGTGAAAGAGTAATGGGAACTTCTTGTGGGTTTTTTTTTTCTAAAAATAATTTAGTAACTAATATATTATCAAAATTATTCTGAGAATAAAATTAATAGCTGCTATATTTTAAATGCAGGAAACTGAAAGTGATATAGTATGCTATAAGTGATTTGATTTTATCTACTTACTTTTCTTTTTGCTCCCTACAGAAGCATATCTCAGCCATGTATTAGCAAAAGAGCCATGATTCAAATTCACAAATGTCTGATTCCAAACCTCAAGTTTTTTTCATAAAGCCCACTGCCTCTTTTTCTTTTTTTTGCTTCTTATTAATATTCCTCTGCTCATAAGTATGAAAAGTAGTTAAAATAAATTAATACAATTTAACTACATAGTCTGCTTCAACAGAGCCAGGAAATAAGATTAATATGGTTATTATAAACAAAGACCCAAATGCCTTCCATAAGTTATTACAGTAGTTTATAGCTTAAGATAAATGAAGATACAGCCTACTAGAGAAATACTACTTTGGAAAGTAAGTGGAAGACACTAGCATGTTACCTTAGACAAATTAACTAACTGTAGACAATGACAGAAATAAAAGTAAAAGCTAGCTATTGAAATTTATTTCAGTATAAACATTTCACATAGTTTATTAAATAAATGCATGCCACTTATTTTTGATATAGTATTATCTGAAAGGAAATCTTAATTCTCTAATTCGTTAAATAAGAGAAGGACTACATACCATAGTGCAGTTTGACAATAAATGGATGGTTTACTTCCACTAGTATATCCCTCTCCATCTTTGTCCGAACTCTGTCTCGAACTAAAAATTACACAAGAGTAGATTATACAATACTTTTTTATATTTTAGTAAAGACTTGATCGATAATTTACTAATCAAAAATATAAAACAATTTCATAGATGCCTAAATTTACATTCTATAACATTCTACATATTCCTACATTGAAATGACAATATTCTCAAAAAGTCAACAAATTTAGTTTCTATGTAGAGATGGGTTAAAGTGGCATAATAGGTATTTGGCTAATATTCTGTTATTATATATATATATATATCAGTCTTTATTAGTTCAAATGAGTTTATTAATTAAAATGGAGCATAATGATATTTTTATCACAGCCTGCAATATAGTACATATACATATGTAGAGGTGGTTGTGCTTGCTCTGTATGAAATATCAATAGATAAAATGGAAAAACAAAAATTTTGAAAGCAAAGAGTACTGCTTAAAAAATTAAGTTCATATTGAATTAAATAAAATATGTCACGTCCCTAGCATTAAATATTTACCTGGGCACATTAAATTAAAGCATATGTAGTATCAAACCCTAGAAGTATCACTTCCTGACAAAAAATCTCTAAATTAGTAAATGTTAAAAAGAAACTACATCTATTCACCTTATACAAGTAATGTACATCATATTTGTAAAAATAGGTTTTTTCAAATGCTATTTTAGCTGGGGATTTAGCTCAGCAGCACAGCGCCTGCCTGGCAAGCGCAAGGTCGTGAGTTCAATTCCCCGTACCGGAAATAAAAACAAACAAAAAAACAAAAAAACAAACTAAATGCTATTTTAATAAATATTGTAATGTTGTACCTTTTAAAGAAGCTTTTTTTAACACCTTCATTGCATACAGCTGTCCAGCATCAGGCCCAGTCTTCTTTCTAACAAGAAAAACCTAATAGAAGAATTTAAAGAAAAATTCACATTTTATGTCTGTCTGTGTCTCTGTCTGTCTGTCTCTCTCTCCCTTTCTCTCACTGTACCTCTCTTTGCACCATATAACAGATTCTTCTAAAGAATGATCACTCCCCTATTTATATTTCTATATTTTTGGGGACCTCTGCTTTCTTCTACTTGAAATTACACCTTCAGATCAAACCTAAACTAAGAGGATCATTTCAGGCTTATTCTTGTCTTGTCACACTTATCCAGGGCAGCACTTCTCACTTTTTCTATGTAGGAGAAAGTGTTTTTGTCTCTTTCCTCCAATCCATTGCAGATGTTAGTTCTATAATTTGTAGCCAAAATTAATTATTTAGGCCAGGCATAGTGGCCCATTGCAGTAATCTCAGCACTCTGGGAGAATGAGGTAGGAGTTTGAGCTCAGCCTAGGCAATTCAGAGACTTAGTAAGACTCTGTCTCAAAATGTAAAACAAAAGTGAATTATTTAGAAACATGAAATTGAAAAGTACTCTGTCAAACTGTTTTAAGTGTTTTTCAGTGGCTTGGGAGGTAACTCTCAGTGCAAGGGGCCTGGAATGAATTGCCAGTATCAAAAAGCAGTTTTATCAATTCACACAACAGTTCATACTACATTTAGAGTATATTAATCAAGAGACTCCATATATTAACAAAAGGTAGGTTTTTGCAAAAAATAAACCTATCTTCTAAAATAAACGAGAATGACGAAATTAAATCAAATCTCACATTTTACAGAATATCACTAATATTTCTGAACTGAAAGTGTTAAAAGATTAAAACTACTACCCTGTGTCACTTTGTCTCACATCTAGCCTGAACTTCAACCAAATTTCTACAAGCAATGTAGAACCCTCAGAAAGCGTAGATCTCACCACAGAAGACGTCTACCACTTTATTCTGTGGGGTAATTTACTGGATTGAAACTTGGAAAGGATATTCCTAAAGACATAGGAGCTCACACTGATGAAAATGGTAAGCATTTTGAGCAGGTGTCAAATTTAACATAGTCCATCATCTACTCTCATTGCTGTCTATGATGAAGCATTAAAAAAATAAAATTAATATATTATCAATGCTAAACAAGGATGTTTTAATCACAAAAGTGTATCATTCAAGATGGTTTAGATACAACAGACACAAAAACTGGATTATCCTGGAAGCTTAAAATCATATAATAGCTATACTAATTTATAGAATTTACAATGCCAGATGCATATTTACCCATTCATTTTTCTTGTTTTTGTTTGTAAGCTAGGCAAATGGCATTAAACTTAAGCACCAAGGTCAAAATTTTAACTGAGTTGTACTGAGAAGATCAACTAAATGTAGGTAGCCAGTTTCCTTTTTAGTAGTCAAAATCCTATGAAAAGGAGAAAACATTAAAGGAATCATCTAGAATGATGACCTTACCACAATCAAGATAACTGTATCAGTCATTTCCAGGAAAATAGTTCTCAACCTTTTTAAGTCAAGAATCCTTTAAAATCTTAAAAAATTATTAGAGACTCCAATATGTAGATTATGTCTACTGACATATTGTTTTGTGTGCTACATCTCTATATATTTACTGTATTAGAAATTGGTACAGAAAACACATATATTAATTTACTAAAAACAAATCTGTCACATGCAAACATAAATATTTTATAAAGATAACTATGTTTTCCCAACTCAAAAAGGTAATGAAAAGAATGACACTGATTGACATTTTTGCAAATTTCTACAATATAATTTAATAAAACAGAGATAGATCAATTTTCATATCTACCTCCACAGTTAAGCAATAACAATTAAGTTGTTTTCCTTGAAGTACAGGTAAACATATCAGGCCTCAGAAGACATAATTTGTAAAATGGAAGAATATTTTGATAAGACTTTTCACATAATAGTGAATACTTTGATGACACACCAGAATTTGACAAATGGCAGTTTCTTAAAGGTCCCTAGAATTGGAGACTCTGAAACCGTATGAATTAACTGTCTATATTTGGTTACATAAAAAGTCCAGTAGTCTAACTTGCATTTTGAATGGATTTTGCACTTGTGCCTCATTTAATTATATCATGCATTGGTCAAGTCAAAATATCAATTAACTTAGTTATATTAATCTTACAAATAGAGATCCAGAAATATTACCAGAAAAAATCTTTCAAGTATTAAGCTATTAAAATATTAAGCTCAAGGTGACAAAAAAATTTCTAACACTGCAATTTTTGCTTGTAACTTGAAATTATAGCATTGATAAAAATATGGTTATTTTTTTTCTATTAAGTAACAGGTTCACTTCTTTCATATTTGAAAAAGCATGTACCAAATACCCAAATTTATGTAACCATCTTTGACCAGCTACTATTTCAAGTAAAAATGGTGGTCCATAAAAAAATAGGATGATAACACAAAAAACTCCACAAGTGTTCTGACTGTAGATAATTTATTTTGGGTGTAGCTAAAGTGCTTTATGAGAGAGGAGAGGGGAGGGGAAAGTAATTAGGATCAAGATGTGATATGTACATATACCAATATCATATAAGGAATACATTTATTATGTGTTAGAAAAATATACTAAAAAATACTAATAAAATGTTAAAGAATATTAAAAAGGGGCTGGGGATACAGCTTAGTGGCACAAATGCCTGCCTGGCAAGCGCAAGGTCCTGAGTTTGATTCCCGGTACCAAAAAAAAAATATTAAAAAGAAGCATATTTAAGGATTAAAATTTAATACTTAAGTAACTGTTAATGTTCCATTAAGAAAATTCTTAAATTCAAGTACGACACAGTGGAGAACACAATGGTTACTGGTAGTGCTTGGAGTAATTACCGTTTCAGTAATTGTACAAATAATGTCTTACACTTATTATAAAATGAATTTAATCTAAGGATTGCCTGAAAAAGTCTTGGGGATGCTTCGGGATACACAGAACACACTTTGAGAATTTCATTTCTGAAACATAGTCTTTTGTGAATTTTCAAAGAACAGAGTATACAGGTTGAGACGAGGCAATCAAAGAATAGGGAGAGAAACAGTCCAGGCTTTTTGAGATCTTGTTTGGAGGTTCTAGCAGAGGAGCACAGCTACTCATATACCCTTGACCGAGGAACAGTCCTCCTCTATCGGGGGTGGTCGTCCTCTTCAACGGAGCGCGCCACTTCAGAAGGAACGCACGTGGAGCCTTGAGGGAGGAAGGGGAAACTGGCCTAGCCAGCCAGATCAGTTGAATCAACCCTGGTGATCAATGGGTTGACAGATGTTACAGCCAGATCATCCTCATATCCAGTCCAGGCTTTTTTTTTTCAGTCCAGGCTTTTTGAAAGACATTGTTGCATAAAGCCATCATTTCTCCTGAATCTTCTAAAAAGTCTTAGTATATGCCATCTAATAGAAGCTATTGTTCCCAGTATAGAGAAGCAAGCATTTATTTATTTATTTATTTATTTATTGGTTTTTCTCCGGTACCAGGAACTGAACTCACGACATTGCGCTTGCCAGGCAGGCGCTTTTGCCGCTGAGCTAAATCCCCAGCCCCTAAGCATTTATTTATTATTACCTAATCTACTTTAGTGAAATAAGGCAGTTACAAATGTTAAAGATTCCATTGTTTTTCTAGTATGAGACCCAAAATATAAATAATTTAAAGATCAAATAAGGGAGCCAGGTTAATAATGTGGAGGTAAACAGCTGGGCATGGTGGCACACACATGTAGTCTCAGTACTTGAGAGGCTCAAGGTTTTCACAGGGAAATAGATGCAACTAGAGACCATACTTCTAATTGAAATAAATCAAACTTGCATGTGTAAACATCATACTGTCTCCCTTGGGTGGCTGAGAAGGATTGCTATGAGTTAGACGCCAACCTGACTACATAGTGAGTTCCAGGCCATTCTAAACTACATAGCAAAACCCTGTCTGAAAAATGAAAGAAACAGGAAGGGAGACTTTGTAGAGACTGAAAAGGCATCTGAGGAAGAGGGAGAGGAGAAGTTGGAGGCAGGGCAGAGAAAAGAAAAGTGATCAAGATGTGACAAGTATATATGTATCAACCCCCCAAGAAGAAAGTAATCATTATGGCTTAAAAAAACATACACTAATAAAAAGTTTTTAAGCTTTTAAAAGTCGTCTCTCCATGCCCTCTTCCTCTAATCAACAACAAATGTAGTTACATGGCTTCAAACTACTGCACCTAAAACAAAATCTCTCCTAATAGGACAGAATTCTTTTCAGTTACCCTAATCTGATTATGGGAAACTATCTAGTAGGAAAATGATTGAGGAGTTACTTCAATATTTTACCCTCAACTACACAGAATTTTATATTTTCCATTACAGATTGCTCAGTAAGTATTTGTGGAACTGAACTGGAAGATCACATATTTTGAAATGCTGACTGCAGAGAGAAAACCAACAGCAGGGAAATTTAAAATATAAACATATTTTTAAAACTACCACCTGATAGTTGATCAAATGTTTAATATTACAAGAGTTCAATATTTTCAAAATACATTTTAAAACCTAGAGTTAAGGCTTTACTCTCATAAAAGGTAAAATATAATTTTTATAATTAGTGAATGTACATTTTGTATATGATCTTGCAATATAACATCTCATAAGTTAAATTACCAATTAAAAAAATGGTTTATGTCAAAGACCCAGTCCAAAAATGGGCATCTGAGATGAATGCACACTTCTCAAATGAAGAAATACAAATGGCAAGTAAGTACATGAAAAAATGTTCAACATCGGTCATTTGAGAAATGCAGTTTAAGACAACACTGAGATTCCATCTCACCTCAGAAAGAATAGCTATCATCAAAAAATGAACCAATAACAAATGTGGGTGGGGCTGTGAGGAAAAAGGAACCATTCCCCACTGTTGGTGGGAGTGTAGACTGGTACAGCTACTGTGGAAATCACTGTAGAGATTCCTCAAAAACCTAGGATTAGTGGTTCTATTCTACCCAGCTATGATCCTTCTG